AAGCAAAAAGGTATGCAGTAGTTTAATTTAGTAAAATGCCATTTAACAGTTAATTAGGAAAGGTACGGTGCCTGTACCCACAAGACCTGTTTCGGATTATATTATGCAATATTGTTTATTTTTTTAAAGATGATATGTGTTTTCCCAGTCCGTGCAACAATAATGGAGTTTGTAATATCACTTCATCTGATTACTCCACGTTTGAATGTCTCTGCGCTGGAACCGGGTATGTTGGAGACACCTGTCAGATGGGTAAGATAAAAATAAGAAAAAAAAAAAACAAAAACAAAAAACAAAAAACAAAAAAAAAACCCCCTAATAAACCAATTGGATAAGAATAACAAGATAATATTTAAAAGGCCCATGCAAACTATTATAATCATTATTTATTATAACTTACTAAATCATAATATTTTTTTAATTATTATTATTATAATTATAATTATTATTATTATTATTATCAGCCTATTATTCTTATTATTATTATTGTTATTATTATTATTATTATTATTATTATTATTATCAGCCTATTTTGGGCAATGTATTGATTAAATGTTTAAGTATCTCAGGCTGTGTTTATCATTTTAAACTATGAGGTTTAGTATGAGTGTAAGTCACTCAGACTCAGCAATCATTTTGCCATCTGAGTGATATTATAATTTTGAGTTTTTGTCTATCTAGATGATCCGTGTTCACCAAGTCCTTGCCTTAACAATGGCGTCTGCCAATTGAATGAAACAGACTTTACTTATGTATGTAACTGTGCTGGAACTGGATATGTTGGAGATACATGTGAGACCGGTAAGTTAAAATTAAGAAAAAAAAAACATAAAAAACTAATTACAGTAGAAAGATAATATTTAAAAGGCCCACTACAAACTGTTATACTCACTATTTATTATATTCATATGATTATTACCACTGCACCATTACTATTATCATCGTAATAAAGTTATTATTTTTCATTAGCAAATAATAATTATATAATAATAAAAAAATATTATAATTATTGTAATAATATCATTTATAATGATAGTGATATAATTTTTATTATTATCATTATCATTATATTATTATAATATATATGAGAGCAGCTTAGCTCAGTCGGCTAAACTGGTGGTAGCCAATGTCTTGTGCTGGACCGTGACGATCTCTTGGACCTTTTGATCTCCTGAATTCTGCAGTATGAGATTTTCGAATCGAGTTAGTCGAGACGGCCCGAGTAGAGTTTCATGCAAATGTTTCGTACGGAAAAAAATCGCCCGGTTAAATTCTCATCGCTGCTCCGTTAGCGCCTATTGGATGACATGTTTACACCGTTGGTCTTGTGTGCATTATGGCCCATGCGCACGTTAATACGCAGTGCACTCTTCAGAAAAGAGTAGGGGATTGTCTCCCGGTGTACTGCCCAATTACCACCAGAAGGACCCTATTAAAGATAAGTCTTCTTTAGACTTTCGTGGTTTATCCTTGATGTTTACACCGAATAAATCCAGCCATCCATCCATCCATCCATCCATCCATAATGTCTAATAATAATGATAATGGTTATTATTATTATTAATTTGTTAATAATAATAATATTAATAATAATAATAATATTATTATTATTATTGTTTATGTTGTTTTTATTATTATTTTTATTATTATGACTATTATTACGATTATTATTATTATTATTATTATTATTATTATTATTAGCCTTATTATTATTAGCCTTATTATTATTTTTATTAGCCTATTAGTATTTTGTGGCAATGTATTGATTACATGTTTAAGTAATCTCAGGCTGTGTTTATCATTTTAAGCTATGAGGTTTACTATGAGTGTAAGTCAATCAGACTCAGCAATCATTCTGCCAAATCAGAATACAGTATTATAATTTCTGAGTTGATTGTCTATCTAGATGATCCGTGTTCACCAAGTCCTTGTGCAAACAATGGCGTTTGCCAGATGAATGGAGCAGACAGCTATGTATGCAACTGCGCTGGAACTGGATATGTTGGAGATATCTGTGACATGAGTAAGATAAAATAAGAATAATTAATAAAATAAACAACCTGATAATATACAGTACCAGAAATATTAGAATATAAAATATTATTGCTATTATTGCTGCTATAATAATAATAATAATTATAATTATATTAATTATTATTATTATTAGTGTTATTATAATTGTTATTATTTTTATTGTTGTTATTATTATTTTTATTATTATTATTATTATAATCATCATTATTTTATTATTATTTAGCTTATTGTTATCATTGGATGATTAAGCTTTCAAAAATATCAGCCAAATTATCAGTCTCCTTGACATTAATATAAAGTTGGTGAGAATGAATCAAATATCTGGAATAAATTCACAGATTCTAGGATCCGCCTATTATTCTAATGATATCTTTTAATAATCAATTACAACAAACCAATGGTTCCTTGAAACTCACGTTTAGAAATAATTGTGCAATCGCACACCCCCACACAAAAAGGCAATTTCACGGGGACGAGAAAGAGAAACATAATTTAAGTAGGGTTAAATCAGCCACCTGGATGAGTTATCTGGTGAACAATCTGTTTTTTTTTTTGTTTTTTTTTTCATTTATCATTCATACCAGTCATTTATTACTAATGTTTGTATTTTTCCAGATGATCCATGCAGTCCTAATCCGTGTAACGGAGGTATTTGTACTAGTCCTGACAACGTGACAGCAACTTGTGACTGTTCCGGGACAGGAATGCAAGGAGACTTGTGTCAATCAAGTAAGTGAACCAGGGGTGGCACCAGGATTTGCCCGACGGTGGGGTGGGGGGCGGGCGAGATCCCCGACGGGGGGAACCGATTCCCCAAAGAGGGGTCAGATTTCCCCGACGAAAGCAAAGTGGGCGTGGTCAAATTTCGATTGAAAGTTTTCGAAAGTGGTCCAGGGGGCGAAGACCCCGAAAATTTTGACAATTTGTGGGCTTCCAAGGCTTATTTAATCGATTTTAGAGTCCACTAACATGTAGAAAATTATATAATAATTTTATACTAAATAATTAGGTCTATTATTGCTGTAGCTCATTCCCCATTTTCTTCCAACTCAGATTTCAGCTGTTACTTCATTGCGTTTTTGACCGAGAGGTAATTGTTAGCGCCAGAATATGATTTTGTTCTATTTGTGTGCATGTTTTGCTTCCCATAGATTTTTAGGACGATGGTTGGTTTTTGTTAAACCATGGTTAAACCATGGTTAAACCACCACTTGGGTTACTGTTATAGGGTTGAGAGCTCTTCAATTTTTCCAGTAATCAGAGATTTTGCGATTGGATATAAGTTGTCATTCTAATAAATGGATCCTGAAGTTACAATTTACTTGAATGTGCTTTATGTTGCCCTTGGTTAAGTTAGTGTGAGAAGCGGTATATTTAATAATATAATATTACCAGGCTACCAAACGGTACATGCAGACCTCGGGACGAGTGCGTAAGTAGTGCGCCCGGGCCAGGCGAGAGTTTCCGGTCCTACTAAATACCACACGGAACACACGGGACCACTCGAGACCACACGGGTGCAAAAATGATTAAAATATTACCACACGAGAGTATAAAACTTCTATATAATCAATAAAAACCAACTTTTATAATGGCAATTGTCCAAAATATGGTAAAAATGATTTTTTTTTAGCTGATGCATGCTAATTAGCAGAGGTTACTACACAATATACTGTACATGAATTGGCCAACAGTTCCAGACAAAATAATAATGAAATAATAATAATAATAATAATAATAATAAAGTTGTGAGTAAATATCTAATGAAATATTACAAATTATATATTTACAAATTACAAATATATATATATATATATATATATATACAGTATGACGCTCGCCTATATATGATATATATGACGCTCGCCTTGTCAGCGAGAGGTCGCAGGTTCGAATCCCGTCGGAGGCATTTTATTACACAATGACTTTTGTAGGACTTTATTCGTTGAAAAGCTACAGGGTAGCCTACGATGTTCCATCATGTCCTTATTTAAACACTATATGTACCTTTAATGATTTATATTATATTTATTCAACAGTGTTAACGGCTAACTCCATTTAATATAATTTGAGTTCTGTATTTATTCACTTCTAATATATTTTATTCAAATGCAATCTTCTTTATTCCATTGATGTAGGCCCTTCACTGAAAAAGAAAAAAAAAACATATACGAGCTTGACAGAAAATAAAAATAAATGATCAATCTAACAATACATAAAAAATTATCATTTTCGTTTTATGTAGAATAGGTTTATTACCGCTTATGTAGCAGTATATAACGGCCTATCTTGATTGATGCTATGAAACACAGACATGAAGGTCATGGTTGAATGCGTTTCTGCTGACACGTCAATACGTTACAGATCCACAATGTCAACGCATTACATACCGACACGCGACGGGAAAAAACAACAAAACAAAATCAAGATACATCGATTTTTAACGAAATTCGGATAATTACCGTTCTAAAAGTTGGTTTCTATTGATTATTAAGTAGTTTTCTACTCTGGTGTGGTAATATTTTTATCATTTTTGCACCCGTGTGTTCCCGAGTGGTCGCGAGTGGTTCCGTGTGGTATTTAGTAGGACCCAGAGTTTCACTCTTGCAGTTTTATAGATATACTCTTTGATCGTATCTTAATAATTGCAACACTAGATGGCGCTACAATACATTATTATTAATACTCCCACTTCTCAAGGGTCCTCATGATTTTCAGTTTTCTTTTGCTGTTTTACCTTCATTATGCAAAGTTCACCACACACATGATTAATATAATTATTGTTGTTATTGCTGTTGCTCTTGTTTAATTTGATATGATTTATTGCGGGACCATAAAGCGTCATGAACTTTAGTGGACGATGAGAGTTGCTGGTACCGGGTTACCAGGTAGCACAGACTCGAAGGGACCCTTAGGGGCGAAGAAAGTCATTGATCGAGTTCCTAGTCCACACATCAAGCGCCTGAGCATCTTACATTAGATGGATATGTGCGCTATATAAAACTACACTATTATTATTTATTATTATTAAACAATTTGATTAAAAAAAAACTTTCAAAACGAAATGAATAACTATATCAGGGATTGCCTTCTAAATCCCTCTGACAAGTATTTTACATCAGCGATGAGGGCGTATCCCCATACTTCGGTTTGGGTGCTGGCATGGTATTCAAATTTCACTTCTTTTTATTTTGTGGTTTTGGTTTCCGTTCCATCTTTACACTTGCCTGATAGCGCTTAGAGACTTTTTGTATTTTGCGCTCTATAAATTAATAACCATTAACCATCTTTAACACTCAAACAATTAACTGAAGACAAATTTCTGACATTTGATCTTATCAGCGAAAATATAAGCAAATAATAAAATGTATAATACTTATTTGGAATATAAAAATTGGAAAAACACAGATGTGCTGAACTTAGAAGTCAAAATGTATTAATACGTGCACGAACATAGGAGCAAGTAAAGCTGCTGTCACACGGTCAAATTAGTACAGAAATTTTGGTTCAGTTTTTCATTTTGACAGGAATATGTAGACACTTGATATTCCCTTGCCACACTATTAAAGTTTTGATAAATAACTTGTTACCTCATAGAAATTTTAGTCTGTTTTCAATCTAAATAAGGGTATACTGATACTGGATCTATTCTTATGCAGACCATTTCCCAATGGTCTATACTTTCTATGTTCGATTGCAGTGGCAGATCTGGGTGGGGGGTGAGTTTCCAAGGAGTTCAGAAGACCCTCCTCTGTGAAAAGAAACGTAAAAAAATAATAACACTAAGTCCTGGCTTACAAAAGGCAGGCTAACCTAGGTTAGCAGATCGGACAAACTAGGCTTAGCCCAACTAGCCTTCAATTAAATAAAAATAAAAACACACTTTTTGGCTCGACGTCGTAATAATTTAAGTGTGTTCTTCAGGCCTATCGGCTCATTGATGTATGGAAGAAAGACTACGTATCCAACTACTCAATATTGTTGGAATATAGGCCTAATAATATATTGCCTATGCCTTCGATTTTTTTTCTCTATGGTATAGGGGTAATTCCGTGTCAAATCAACCAGAGGTCTTAGGTCGACCGTCTCCGATTTTTATGAAACTTCTTAAAAATGATCCACTATGTGAAAAATCAACATACACAAAAGATTAGCTCTACTGGATATGTAGTTTCCGAGATATTGACGCCCCAAAAAAGGGGCGTGGCTTTCAAGATTCGCAAATGCAATTTCCTCCAACTTTGGAAGCTTATAACTCAGGATTGGTAATAGCTATCAACTTAACTTTGATTTTCTTATGCTAATATCTTTGAAAGTATAACCTTAAGATTTTGTGGTGTAGGACATCTTTTGCTGCTGATTCCAAATCTGCAATCAGAAAAGTTGTAGCATGTACCATTGTGGAATAGCAATGGTCTAAAAATGGGACCAAATTGATTTGGAATCAACAGTAAAAGATGTCCTACACCACAAAATCTGAAGGTTATAGGTGCTGTACTTCCAAAGATATTAGCATATGAAAATAAAAGTTAATTTCACACTGCACTAATTTGTGCCACGTCCCCTTTTACATCAAACTGCCGCTACAGGAAAATAGACAGGAATTGGAGTTTAAAAATTTCAGGTTTTTCAATTCACATGAATAACTGTCAGTATAAAAAATTTTTAAAATCTATGATTCCATGGCATGGAATTACCCAACTCTTAAAAAATTTAGTTATTTCCGATTATGTTACAATATGTGTAGTTTTCAACATAGTATCTAACCATGAAGGAGCTGAGAACCAAATCTGAAATTTGGTGTATAAGTAGATCTAATATATCTGGTTAACTGGTGTAAATTTAAGAAAAGATTTTAACTGTCCACATGACGAACCGTTAATGGGAAACATAGGCTTTTTTCACTTTTTAGGGCTGGTCCCAACTTTGAATGGATGCCATTCCATTTTAATTCATTTCATCAGCCCGTGCTTGCTTGTGGCTAGAGACAACTACATAGATAATATATCTGTAATTTAAGATGTATACACTCACTCATACGGACACAGGGTGACATTGAAAATCACAAAAAAATTGCGTCATTAAACAAAGTGGCTATTTTGAGTGCAGATAACTTAAAAAAAGATAACAGTTAATCTGATGCCATATTTGTGTAATACGGTGAAATATAAGTTAGAATACCAAGTTTGACCTTGATAACTATTACCAATCCCGAGTTATAAGCTTCCAAAGTTGGAGGAAATTGCTTTTGCGCATCTTGAAGAACCACGCCCCTTTTTTGGGGTGTCAATATCTCGGAAACTACAAAACTTATAACCCTATTTTTTTTTAAGTGTTGGTTTTTCACATAGTGGATCATTTTTATGGAGTTTCATCAAAATCTGAGAGGGTCATACTGGAAGTTTTTTGAAATCTGGTTGATTTGACACGGAATGACCCATAGGCCTAAGAATGATATATAAAATAACCTGACCTTTTTTTTAAAAGACACGTCAGAAGTTGGGAAAGCTCATTTCCAGCCATCTAGGAATCAAAATTTTCCACTTACCACTTACATATTTACATGAATGCCATATGTTACCTAATGATTTCAAGTAATTATCGTATTTTGTTATTAAATATTTAGTTAACCCGTGTTCTGGGGCGGCGTGTATGAACGGAGGCACTTGCAATGACCTAGGCAATGGCACCTTCTCTTGTAACTGCACTGATGATTACGAGGGTGATACATGTGACACTCGTAAGTATTAGTAGTCTTTTAGTATATTACCAAAGAGTATGAAACTGCAAGAGGTCCGACTCTTGGTTTCGTTGGAACGTAATCCTGTTTTAAAAATATTACCACAAAGGGGCGTGTCCTTAAATAAAAAAAAGTTTCGAGCAAACTTCAACTTCTAATAGGGCGCCCCCTATCTGCTGGTAGTACTTTTTGAGCATTTCATTGTTTGCATACAAAATGAGTGCAGTCGGACTTCTTGCAATTCTATACTCGTTGATATTACTGGCACTGAGTGCCAGAGCATTCATTAGTAAATGCTTGCTCAGGACAGACACCGACTTCTGGGCTTCACATCCGTCTATTTAGGCCTCTTCCATTTGATATAATGGATGATATATTAAGCATATTGAATGGGGGTATTTTTTGGGTCCGTGTAAGGCGGACCCAGAACCTCACTGCTGTTCTTGTTGTTGTTGTTAATGTTACTAACGTCCATGGTCCTTTTTTGAAGTTTGACCTCAGTGTTCCCCCACACCTTCAAAACTAAACGGGTTTCATCGAAGGACTGTACATTACTGCCATTACCACAAATAGGATGTTGCATAGGTGGCGCGGTCGGTTAGCCATGTCTCCTAATATAAGTAGTATAGTGAAAAAATGGGCCCCCGTGACCATTTTTCGGGGACCAAGGTTTCTCTGCTGATTTGGCATTACTAGGGTATAAATAAAAAAATGAGCGGGGGTGAGCCTCCTTAAAAAAGGGCAGAACATGTTTTTTGTCAATCAAGAGAATGGCTCATAACTTTACTTCTACTCCATGAAAAAGGGTAAATATGGTGTCTAACTATATGTTATTAGGGTCACTGAATTCAAATAGACATGTTTCAAAAACCTAGGATGGCAGCCATTTTGAAATTCAAGATGGCTGCCATAGTAATCGTTGAAAATCAATTCCAGTATAATTTCACTTCCTGTCGTTGAAAAATGGTAAATATGATGTCTACTCATATGTAATTAGGCTCTCTGAGTCCAATAAGAATAACTTCTATAAGCTAGGATGGCATCCATTTTGAAATCCAAGATGGCCACCACATAAATTGTCAAAAATCAAATATTTTGATATATAATTGCATTTCTCCTCACTCAAAAATGTGAAATTTGGGGTCTAATCATATGTTATTCACATTTTTGAGTCCAATGAACATAGTTTCAAAAACCAAGCATGTCAGCCATTTTGAAATTCAAGATGGCTGCCGTAGTAATCGTTGAATATCAAATATTCCAGTATATTTCTACTTCTTATCGTTGAAAATGGTAAATTTGATGTATTCTAATATATGTTATTGGGCTCTGCAAGTCCAATAAGCAGTTTCAATAAGCTACGGCAGCCATTTTAAAATTCAAGATGGCTGCCACAAAAATCGTCGAAAATCAAATATTTTAGTATATAATTGCATTTCTCCTCTATAAAAAATGTTAAATTTGGTGTTTAATCATATATGTTATTGAGCTCACTGAGTCCAATGAGCATAGTTTCAGAAAGCTAGAATGTCAGCCATTTTAAAATTCAAGATGGCTGCCGTAATAATCGTTGAAAGTCAAATATTTCAGTATAATTCCACTTCTTGTCCTTGAAAAATGGTAAATTTGATGTATTCTTGAATGTTATTGGGCTCTGCAAGTCCAATAAGCATAGTTTTAATAAGCTAGAATGGCAGCCAATCTAAAATTTAAGATGGCCGCCACAAAAATAGTCGAAAATCAAATATTTTGGTATATAATTGCACTTCTCCTTGATAAAAAATTTTAAATTGGTGTCCAATCATGTATGTTTCTCAATAGAAATGGTAAATTTGGTGTCTAATGACTTGTTATGGGCAATCTGAGTCCAATTAACATAGTTTTAAAAGTATGACAACCATACGTTTTTCCAATATGTCTGCCATTATTATGTACACATTTTACCTTACAAAATGCAAAAATAATAAATCTTTAGAAATACTACCACTTATATTATACAATAAAACATAAGCATTTGTTTGATGAACCTGTCTGTCTGGAATAAATCACAATTAGGTTCATACGTTATCATGCTCGGACGATTCATCGCTTGTTTCATCATCACTCTCATCGCTACTGTCACTATCATTTCGTTCTAGAACTTTAATATCACTGGGTAGGTTTGGCTCAGTACTTCTTTCGGCATAGCACTTTCCATTAATCAGTTTCCACCCACTTTTTGTTGGTGATTGATTGATTCTTAAGGAAAAGTTTAATTGATTGTATGATTTGGCTCTTTTAATATGCTGAAGTAGTGAACATTTGTCTGGTGCCAATCTTACATGTGACTTTCTCTTTTTGTAGGACTTGGTCAACCTTGCCTCTGTTGTGTTTTTGCTTTTGTTGTCGTTGTATATAAACTTTAAGACAAACTTAAGTAAGTTTTTCAAATGTTGAATTTGTCACAGCAAGCAATAGATTCTCTACAGGATTTCAACAGATTTTTTCTTCTTTGCTTTGTCGAACATTATTGAAAATCTTTGCCTTTTCCATGTCCAAAGAATGCAGAATTACTGTCACAGCCGGTCAAAACATGAAGTTGAATTATGCTTTCTGCCATTTAATGCCCACACAGATCCTTACAATTGACAAACACAGTTTCTTCTGATATTTTACAGATCATTAGTTCTCCTGGCAACTTGTGTGCAACGTATGCAGCCGAACATACACATCTGTATCCTCCGAGTCTATTACTACTGGTTTAGTAACTTTGCAGCTTGTTCTGAGATAGTAGTAAATAGTCAGCATCGTTTTATCTGCTTCTGCCTGACTACAATTAAATTCTGGTATCTCACTATTATCTGCTAATCAACACAATTTTCTAAAGAGTATAACACTCAAACTCCTTCAACTTTTACTTCTTCTTGCTGGGGTTTCTTTAATAAATTCTTGTATTCTTGACTTGTTGTAATCGCTCTTCGGGATTTTGTTAAACTCTTTACTTGATAAAAACTGGTCCTGTAACTTCATGTGTGTATTAGGTATTTTCTGTCCATTTGATCATCATTCTCTTTCTTCATATTTGATCGACTCTTCTTTACTGTATGGGTCATTAACACATATAATGGCTGATGCATTGTGATGTCTTTTAAATATAATATATGTGCATTTGTTGACATAATTCTCCCAAGTAAATAAGGAACCATCTTCATTAAGTCTTTGTTCTTTATTAGGGATTGCCTTTCTGATGACCATGCCCGTATCGATGATAGCAGTGTATTCTGTATCTGCAGAATTGGTTTTTGTATCCATACCGTGGACAAGTTTTGATTTCTGGCATTTTCTAAATGTACCATTAGCATTGAATATGGCCAGAGATTTAGAGGTTACTCTCACCAAAGTTACAACTTTTGATCGACAAGTGGAATTATATACCAAATATTTTATTTTTTGACGATTTTTGTGGTGGCCATCTTGAATTTCAAAATAGCTGACATGCTTGGTTTTTGAAACTATGTTCATTGGACTCAAAAATGTGAATAAAATATGATTAGACCCCAAATTTAACATTTTGAGTGAGGAAAAATGCAATTATATATCAAAATATTTGATTTTTGACAATTTATGTGGTGGCCATCTTGGATTTCAAAATGGTTGCCATCCTAGCTTTAAATAATGAAGTTATTCTTATTGGACTCAGGGACCTAATTACATATGAGTAGACATCAAATTTACCATTTTCCAACGACAGGAAGTGGAATTATACTGGAATATTTGATTTTTAAAGATTACTATGGCAGCCATCTTGAATTTCAAAATGGCTGCCATCCTAGGTTTTTGAAACATGTCTAATTGAATTCAGTGACCCTAATAACATATAGCTAGACACCAGATTTACCCTTTTTCATGGAGTAGAAGTAAAGTTATGAGCCATTCTCTTGATTTTAGCGGCCATTTTAAAAATGGCCGCCAAAAAACATGTTCCGCCCTTTTTCAGGAAGCTCACCCCCGCTCATTTTTTTATTTATACCCTAGTGATGCCGAATCAGCAGAGAAACCTTGGTCCCCGGAAAATGGTCACGGGGGCCCTGTTTTTCACTATACTATAAGGGAATAAGAAAACTGAAGGTCGTGAGTTTGAATCTCGTCTTGGTATTCAATTTTATCTTCTTTTTTTTTTCAATTTTGAGACATTTTATTTTTTATTTATTTTTTAAAACTTATTTTTACTATGAACCCTTGCCAAAAACCCAATATAATAACTTACGGCACTGTGATTTAAGCAGGGAGTTGTTATAAATAACAACTCCCTGATTTCAGCATGTTTTAATAGTGTCAACAAAAAACCCCGTCTAAAAGGTGCATACACGAAGCGTTAAACGCTGAATAGAGGTAACCGGTGAACAGTTTCTCATATATA